CAAAAAAGTTCATGTGCACATGCTAAATCAAGACTTGCACTGGAGTGGAAGCTGTCCACACCCTCATCTACACCATAAGCTGCTGCTGCTGCTTCTCTCTCTCTCTCTTTTTTCCATAAGCTCTTCCATATTAGTTAGGATAAACTCTAGCTAGAAAATAAATTATTCATTTAGGAAAAATCTCTACACTCAAAGTGTTATGAGGGCTTTGAGAATCGAGATGCATCAGAGATGCTTTCACTAGCGGAAGTAGTGAACTACACATTTACTATTCCTAGTTTATCTGAAGCCGTTTAGAAACATCTGCTTACAGAGGAACCATTGGCATTGTTATAGGAATTTTTGGCCACTAAATCCATATTGTTGTTGTTGTTATGTGCCGTCAAGTCTCTTGTAACTCATAGCGACCCTATGTACAACAACCCTAAACTCTGCTCTGTCCTGTGCCAATCACACTGTCTCTGATACACCCATCCCAATTACCCCAGTCACTGAATCAATCCACCTCTTAGAGGGCCTTCCTCTCCTGCACCGAACCTCCACCTTCCTAAGCATGATGTCCCTCGCCAAGGACCAGTCTCTCCTTACACCATGTCCAAAGTATGTCAGACGAAGCCTCAGAATCCTTGCCTCCAAGGAGCCACCCAGTTTAACCCTCTCCAGGACAAATCTGTTTGTTTTCCTAGCAGTCCATGGTATTCTCAATACTCTTCTCCAGCACCACAGCTCAAAGGCATCAATTCTCCTTCTATCCTCCATAGTCATTGTCCAGCTCTCTGAAGCCTAACAAGTGATTGCAAAGACCATGGCCTGTATCAGACACACCTTAGTCTCCAGAGAGACAGCATTGCTCTTCAGTACTTTGGAGAGGTCTCTAACAGCAGACTTTCCCATTGCAATATGTCTTTTAATTTCCTGGCTGCTGTTGCCATTACATGGCCTAAAATTTCTATACAAGGGATGCTGTATGAATGAACTCCAACCTTTACCTCAGACTGCGTCTTAATCCCTCTACTGCTCCATACCTGAAACAGGTGTGCACAGATATTGCAGCATGAGCTTTCAAATGTGAAATAATCATGGGGTGGTAAGCCATTGCTGCTCTTAGCCATTTCTGTCTCCTCTGCATCCCATCCACATTATCCTCATGCTCTGTGATTGTCAGGACTTCCCCACCCATCAAGCATAGAGTTAACTTTCTGCTTCTATGTCTGTATAGTTGGTGGGTGTCAGTGCCAAGAAGCTCTCTCTCCAAAGTCCCTGGATTACCCTGTCCCAAGTCAACAGAGACAAACAGAGCAAGGGAATATACAATAGATTAAAATCAAGGAAGATGTGCCTTAACTCTGAATCCTTTCCTCAAGTGTAGTGTATATGCTGAACAAATCATTCAAGAAGTTAGACTATATGAAGAAATATGTGTAATCAGATTAGGAGGAGATTGGGAAAGCAGTGGAATGCTCCCAGACGGGCATTTTTAGATGGTGAGAGCCAATCGGAATGCTTGATTATGGAGGAATGTAGAGTTTGAACCTTGCCTTATTTCTTAAATCAGGATGGGCCCAAGGGCCTATGGCTGTCTGGCCTGGTTTTAATTGGTTTTGGTCAAACATTCTTCTAAGTGATATAGCCCTGGTTTGTCCATTTGCTGTACAGTGGTTGCTGTGATGCTATACACTGTGATACTGATGTGTCAAATGTGATAATGGTTACCCATGGTGTACAGTGTTTGGTGGAGCTCCCCAATGAAAACAAGCTTGGAAGCAGGAGTGGCATCCACTTCTGAAATAGCTTGCCTCCAGAAATTCTATGAACTTGGAGAAACAATGAAAGTTATACAAGTGTTCAAGTCTTTCATTCATAGGGCCACTATGAGTTGTCTACAACCCCATGATACTTAACAACAACAACATACTTAGGTCAAGAGACTGTTGTATGAATGGAGCAAAGAAACACTAACTACATGGTTAAAATTAAGAAAGGAGTGTGTCAGGGTTGTATCCTCTCTCCCTATTCAATCTGTATGTGGAGCAAATTATTCAAGAGGCTGGACTCTATGATGAAGAATGTGGTATCAGGATTGGAAAAAGACTCTAACCTTTTTTATGCAGATGACACAAACTTGTTTACTGAAAGTGAAGAACACTTGAAATATTTGCTCTAGAAAGCTAAACTCTGAAGCCTTCAATATGGATTGCATCTCAATACCAAGAAAATGAACATTCTTATCACTGGACAAATAGGCAACATCATGATAAATGGGGGAAAGATTGAAGTTGTCGACAATTTTCTCTTACTTGGATCTACAGGCAACACTCTTGGTATTAGCAGTCAGGCGATCAGGAGATGCATTGAACTAGCGAAGTCTACAGTCAGCAACCTCCCCAAAGTATTGAGGAGCCATGCCAGGTTGAGGACAAAGGTGCACCCAGTTCAGGTCATCATCTTTCAATCACTTGCCATGCATCTGAGAGCTGGAAAATGAATAATGACGACAGAAGAAAAATTGGTTCATTTGAACTGTGTGGCTCTGGAGAAGAGTACTGAACATCCCTTGGACTGCCAAATGTCCTTTGCCAAAAAGACAAACAAAATGTCTTGGAGAAGATGCAGCCAGTGTGCTCCTTAGAGGCAAAGATGATGAAATAGTATCTCACATACTTTGGGTGTGTTGCTAGGAAGTGCTATTCCTTGAAGAGGCATATCGTACTTGGGAAAGTGGAGGGTTGGCCAAAGAGAGGAAGACCCTCAAACAAATGGATTGACACAGTGACTGCTAAAATGGGCCCAAGTGGATCAGAAACTGTGAAGATGGCACAGGATAGGACAGGGTTCAGACCTGTTGAGATCTTGATGGGGACAGATTAGAGTAAGGTTCAAAATGTTCTTAGGGTTACTGTGAGTCATGGTCAATTGAAGGGCAGCTAACAATAAAAAACAGCAAACTATGTGTCACCTTGGCTAGGCTATGATTTTCTCAAATTGTCTTCCATTTTGTGATCTGATAAAAATGATTGTTTTTAAATCTTTATCTGTGCCTGTGGTTAATTAGTCAGGATTGATGTTATTGCTGTTGGTAGGCGTCATCCAGTCAAGTGTGATTCATAGCAACCCTTTGAAAAATAAATCTCCACCCTGTCTATTCTGGGCCATTCTCATTAACTCTGACACATTTGAGCCCTTTGCTGTCGTCACTGTGTCAATCCAGCTCATGGACAGTCTTCCTCCTTTTTGCTGATTTTCCACCTTCGCAAGAATGATGTCTCTCTCCAAGGCAAAGCCTCTCCTAAAACATGATCAAAGTATGTGAGACAAAACTTTACCATCCTTGCTTCCAAAAAGAATCCTGACTGCACTTTCTCCAAGACTTATTTGTTTTAGCAGTCTGTGTGTGGGGTACTCAGTGCTCTTCTCCAACATCACAGTTCAAATTCCTCAATCCTTCTACCGTCATCCTTATTCATTGTCTAGCTCCCAGAGGCACAAGACATGATTGAAAAGATCATAGTTAGGATTAGGATATGTTAAAGAATATTTCCTTATATTGGTTATGTTAATTGTGCAGGACACAATCTATATGATTAGAGTGCATTATGAAACAAACTGTTCTGACAGACAATAAAAGATTAAACAAAAGGACAGAGATAAGAGTACCTGCAAGAAATAACAGCCAGGAATGAAGCGCATATTTTAGATGTGGAGTCTCTGGGTTGTTGTTGCCATTGTTGTTATGTGCTGTTGAGTCACAACTCATAGCGACTCTATGTACAACAGCTTTGAGTACTACTCTGCCTTCAGCTAACATCATTATCTCTGACACACTCCATCACCCAAGTCATGAGTTAATCCATCTTATCCAGAGCTTCCCCTCTTGAGTTGTTCCTCCACCCTTCCAAGCATGATGTTCCTCTCCAAGAACTGGTTGGTACCTCCTCGCAACATCCCAAAGTATGTGAGATGGAGCTTCAGAATCCTTGTCTCCAAGGAGCAGCCTGGTTTCATCCTCTCTAGGACTCACGCAGGAGAAGATTGATACCAAGTCACATATACAGAGATCACCAAGGACATCTGATCCACAAATATTGAAAGGAGATAGTTTACAAAGAGAGAGAGCCTCCCCTAGAATTGGCACCCTCAAGTCTCTTAAACTATAAAATAATATTTTTCTTTTTATTAAAACCATTCAATTTGTAAGTTCTCTTATGGTGGCCCCGGATAACTAAGACAGGCCTCTGGGAACTCTAGGTATAGCAGATGAAATTCCTCTGACCCATTATTACTATCCCTATTACCTCAGTTGAGTCCTCACCAAATTCTAGCAGAAAGATACAGAGCTTCAAGTGGTAGCAAGGCACACTGGCAAGCAAGTCCCCGGGCAGCATCACTCTCAGGATTTTATAGTCCCCTTCTAGTCAAGACATCCAAGTCAACCTCACATGGCCACATGAAGGAACAGCAAAATCCATAGGCATTGAGGTTCAGGGTTCTTGAGGTAGATAGAGACATCCAGCAGCCCCAGGGACTGTTCAATAATCTAAGCATCTTCCCATTAACGTTCTTTGGTGTTGTGATTAAAGGAGGTAAAGTAAGTTCAGATCATGTTCCATTTCTTCAATCCAATGTAGCCATAAGTCTACAGTTATCATATGGCAAAAGGGATATAAAACTCCTTTTAAATTTTAACTTTATAGTTTATGACTTACTGTTTTTAACTGATGGCACACTCCACACATGTACAAATACAATGCAGACAAAACCATATTATTTGATCAACTGAAAAGAAATGTGAACCTTCCTTCACCCCTACAGATATCAGGAGCTTTCACTGCAGGGTTTTCAGATTTTCCATAACATTTTAAAGTAAAAGGAAGATTAAATGTCATCTTTCCTAAACAAATATTTATGGGAAAATTTATTCTAACAAAACCTCCTATCTTTGAAAATAAAGTATCCCTCTTCTGGAGCAATATGCATTCAAGGGCATTTATACAGATACTTGCTTTTAGATGAAGCTGATTGGTCCAGTGCCCAATGATTTTGTACTCGGTACTTTTGTTGGTTATTTGATACTGGAAGATGTCATAACGTCCAGGAGCATCTCCGTTTTCATTAAAAGTGACAGGTGTTCCAGCGCTACCTATAAACATTTAGAAAACAATGTTAATAAAGTCTGTGTAAGGTATTCCTCTGGGCATATCATCCTCAAGGAAAGAATGGTACATAAAGTATATTGTGTGGAGTCAGAGGTATGAAAGTCGTAATACAGACAAGGTCATTCCAGATAATGTAATATTGTTTACATAAAAAAATCCAGATCTACTCACAAGAAAGATATGTGTTTTATTGCAGACATTAGAAGGTAAATGATGGGCATCCAAGTTAGGCAATGTGTATACAACAGCTAAATAAATAAAAATTGATAGGCTGCACATTCAAGACTGGACACAGGGAAGGGCGGGCATTTAGCGGAAAAGAATATAAATGTCTTCCTATCACACACTAACCAGTATGTCAAGTTGATCTCCATTCATGACAGCCCCAACTGCGTCAAGGCAGAACTGTGCCCCACAGGGCTGGTTTTAAACTACTGATTTTTCAGAAGGAGATGCCCAAGCCTTTCTCCTTGAAGCACTTCCAAGTGGGCTCAAACTTTCAACCTCTTTGATAGTAGCCATTTGTGTTAGCCATCAGCAAAGCTGTATATCAAATGTAACTCTAATATGGTTGATGTAAGCCCCAGTAGGATTGCCCAGAGTTCTACTAGCTCCTCGCTTTCCTTCCACACTGATACCATTCCCTGATTCAATTCCTCTTCTAAGGCTCTGCTGCTACTGCTATCTCTGCCCATGAGCATAAGGACATGGGATGCTGTGGGGAAACTCTCAATGGATGAGGCAGTGAACCATGGGAAGCCTCAAACTCCGCTCATATTCAAACTGTTGTCCTGACTCATTCTGATGAGAACGGCAGCAGAATGTGAGGGAGTATTGTGGTCTAAGTCCCATTTCTCTCCGAAGCTTTCATCTTTTCTCCTAAAGGCTGCCCCTCTTATTAGCTTTTCTATATCACAGGTATTAAGACTAGACAAGAATTACCATGCTGAAGTTTCCTTGCTCCAGCTAGTCCCACTCTCTAAATGCTTTCTTTTTCTAAACATTCTTTAGATCCCCCTTCATCCTAGTTTACTCTTCCCTATCTTTACAAGCCACCTGACACCAATCCTTGTTGGGTGCTCATATCTTCTCTTGTCAACTCCCCAGGCTTGACTTCTGCTCACAGTATGCCTGATTTAATCTCTACCCTTTATTACAAGGTCCCCACTCCTTGCTATCCCTTCTCCGTGTTATACACCACAAAACGTAGATGAGAAGTGCGCGTGCGTGTCTGTGTGTGTGTGTATGTGTGTAAAATATTCATATTTTATCCTATAATGAGCTTCATGTTCTACGTTAGGAGCTATTTTACTAAATGACAAGAACTGTAAGAGTATACTATACTTATCATGTAAAATAAAAGAGTTTATTTTTTAAAATGCAGTTTTCTATTAAATACAACCGAAGTTACATAGTTAAGATTACAGTGATTCTCTAATATTAAATAGAGTGGCATAATTTCTATTCTTTGGGATTTCTAAAATCTGAACACAATGTGTAGTCTCTGAGGCACTTGCCGTCTGTAAAAAAAACCTGATAAAGTCACAAGAGATGACATCACATGGCAGGAAAAACCTTTGCTGAGAGGCAGGGGCTGTGTGACCATGTTAACCACATCCCTCCACATCCATTTCTATTCACAGCTGGTATGTGTCTCATTTTCTTCACTTGTACCGTGGGGACTAATCATGACCTCTAGCAAAGACAAAAGCATTTTAAAGGAATTGTGCAATCTGTAAATATGGAGCAGGAGTAGTCTGTATGGAAAAGAAAAACCTTTCTTTCTTTTTTTTTTTTCCTTTTAAATTTTAATAATGTTTTTCATTGTGATTTTACATAAATTTACAGAAAACTTGAATTTTCATCCATTCATTATTGCTCATTTTCCTCCCTACCCCACACTCCAGTACACTTTGCCATGTACATCTTATTCTGGACTATTGTCATGCAAATAATGCCTAATCATATATTCCTTTTATATAATTCTTTGCCTCCTCTGTTTCAATGCAGTGTTCATTATTTAGTCCCTCTTTTCTTAGTATCCTCTAACCCCCAATGCCAGTCCTGTTTTATAACAGTGCCATTATGCTGTATACTTTTGAGACTTTTATATACTGTTTTGGTATACTTTTGTGACTCAGATATTTCATTCAGCATAATGTCCTCCAGGATCACCCATTTCATATAATATTTTAAGAGTTCTTTGTTTTTCAGTGCTGTGTAGTATTCCATTGTGTGGATAGACCGCAGTTTCTCTATCCATTCATGTGTTGATGAACACTTGGGTTGTTTCTATTTCTTTGCTACAGTGAACAATGCAGCAATAAATATGAGTCTGCATACATCTGTTTGGGTGGAAGTTCTGGTTTCTTTAGATTGTATTTCCAGTAGTGCAATTTCTGGGTTAAATGGTATTTGTATTTCCAATTTTCTGAGAAAGGGCCATAATGCCTTCCATGATGGTCACACCAACAGTGACTAAGTGTTCTAATTTCTCCATAACCTCACCAACATTTGCTGTTTGCTGCTCTGTTGAACAATGCTATTATTATTACTGGAGTGAAATGATATCTCATAGTTGTTTTGATTTGCATCTTTCTTAGAACTAGGGATCAAGGGCCTAGGAGCAAAACCAAGAACTATAAACTTCATCATAGAAAAGCTTAGAGGAACTCTAGAAGCCCTCCTGAAGGAACTGTAGAAGCCCTAATCCACAACATTAATAGTCTTCCAAGCATCTTGAAAAACTACAACCAGGATAGAAGAAAACAGATGAATGGGAATTTCTAAGAATCAAATCCTATGCACATCAAAAACCTTCTCCAACAGGGCAAAAAGGAAAGCCACAGACTGGGGAAAATATTTGGTCATGAATGATAAGTCTGATAAGGGACTTAGATCTAGAATTTATAGAATACTCCAACACCTCAACAAGATAAAGGTAAACAATCCAATTGCAAAATGGACACAGTATATGAACGGTCACTTCACCAAAGAAGATATTCAGATGGCAAACAAACACATGAAGAAGAAAAACCTTTCTAAAACAAGACAGAAATGAGTAATTGGGAAATAAAGTAGGAGCTCTTCAGTCAAGTGGTCCTATCCTGATTATTCCTTAGGAGTTGTTGTTAAATAGAGTGACTCACAGTGACCCTCTGAACAAGAGATCTTAATCCTGTCCTATCCTGTGCCATCTGCCCCATCCTGTGCCATCATCATCATATCTTATATACTTGAACTCATTCCTGCAATCAATGAGTCAATTCCTTTCAGTGGAGGTCTTCCTCTATACACATCGACGTACAAAATCTTTATTTCTCAGTTCTATTTTCCTCAGACTATTTTCTTAGCATAGAATAGCTGGGTCATATGGAATTTTTATGTTCATCTTTATGAGGAGATGCCAACCTGCCTTCTAGAGTGATTGTACCATTTTACAATCCCACCAACAGTGAATTAGAGTTTTAATCTCTCCACATCCCCCCCAGCATTTACTACTTGCTGTCCTATTTAACTTTGCCACTGCTACTGGGGTAAAATGGTATTTCACTATAGTTTTGAATTGTGTTTCTCTTATTGCCAGTGATTTTGAGCATTTCTTCATGTGTCTGTTGGCCATCTGAATGTCTTCCTCTGGGAGAATTTTTCCATGTCTTTTTCCCATTTTGTAATTGTACTGTCAGTCTTTTCTCTTGTGAAGGTTCTATAGGATTCGATAAACTTTCATTATAAGACTTTTGTCTGAGATGGCATTGCCAAATGTTTCTTTTCCCTAGTCAGTAGGTCTTCTTTTTAGCCTATTGGAAAAAGTTTTTTTATGTACACAGGGACTTAATCTTTAGGAGGTCCCATTCATCAATGTTATCCTAGTTGCACATGCAAAAACAGCCACCACCATGTCAATAATGTCCACTGTCGCTACTTTTCTCACCAAATGACATCTCCTCTCCTACAATAGTAGTTCCTAATATTTTTACTATAATGATATGAGTAAAATACTTATATGAATGCATCTAAGTTTATATATTCCCAGTATATATCTCTTTATATCCAACTCTTGAAAGTATGTAGGAAAAAGAGTGAAAGTCATAATATTAGACATATAACAAGACCAAACATTGATACTTCAAACATCATTATTGATAGCATGCTATTAACCATTAAATCTTATACTAAATGTGTCATCCTGTTAAGACGTAAAGTACTAGACCACCAGAATGAGAAATTAATTCTTGATACATGCTATAATGTAGATAGGGCTTGGAGACAATATTTTGGGTATAATAAGTTAGTCACAGAAATAGAAATATCGAATGAACTCATAAAATTATATAAACAGTCTTTCCTACCTTATTCCCCACCTTACTTTATTTGCACATGTTATTTTTGTTACTCACTCTCCTTAGGCCTATTTTCTCATCTGTAAACTGGGTGTAATGACCCATCCTCATTGGGCTAAATCCAGGGTTAAAGGAAATGAAGCATGTCACACACTTAATGCAGTAACTGACACACTGTGCATCCGTAATAGGTGTAAACTGTCACCACAGTCTTCAGACACTTGAGCCATAGTGATCTTCTCTTTATACACATTTTATCGTTTACAAAATTCAAGATGTATTGCAAAAAGTAATCCAGTTATCCTTACGTACAAAAAATGATAAATATGCATATATATATATGTGCAAACATTATAAATATATGCATAAGTATAAGCCACTGAGTTTGTTTACTGTCAAGTCTACTACTTTTCTTCCTTTATCATTACTACTAAAATTTTATCCATTCTCTCACTCACCACCACCTACACTACCCAATAAACAGGACAGAATTAAAAATGTTAAAATAAAAATCAATTCAGTTAGCAATTTTAGCATCCACAATAAAGGAATTAGCACATGATATTTAAGGCATTGACCAAAATCGACATAGGAAATGGCAATACTCTACAGTATTTCAATTATTCATGTACTTCTCTTCT